TAGAGGGTGTGGGTCACGCCCGGAGCCGGATCCGCCGCCGAGGTGAAATGCCCACCCGGTCCCTCCCCTGTGGTGTTTGGTTGGCGCGGTCGCAGTCCGCGCCTTTGGGGGGGGGGGTACTGTCACGCCCTGGCTCTGGGGACTCTTTAATGTTGAGCCAAGGTGTTAGTTTCTATGTTTTGTGTTTCTATGTTGGCCGGGGTGGTTCTCAATCAGAGGCAACGTGAATCAGCTGTTGCTTGTTGTCTCTGATTGGGAACCATAGTTAGGTAGTCGTTTGGCATTTGTGTGGTGTGGTATCTTGTTCAGTGTAGGTTTGTGTTTGTGAACCTGTGGACTTCACGTATCGTTTGTTGTTTTTGTTCGTATGTTGAATATCTAATAAATCATGTACGCTTATCACGCTGCGCCTTGGCCCGTTTCATCTAATGACGATCGTGACAATAGGCCCACCTACTTGGGAGCCAGACCCACCCATTGGGGAGCCAGGCCCAACCAATCAGAATGATTTTTCCCCACAAAAGGGCTTTATTACAGACAGAAATACTCCTCAGTTTCATCAGCTGTCCGGGTGGCTGGTCTCAGACGATCCTGCAGCTGAAGAAGCTGTATGTGGAGGTCCTGGGCTGGTGTGGTCTGCGGTTGTGAGATTGGTTGGACGTACTGCCAAATTCTGTAAAATGACGTTGGAGGCGGCTTATGGTAGAGAAATGAACATATGATTCTCTGGCAACAGCTCTGGTGGACATTCCTGCAGTCAGCATGCCAATTGCACGCTCCCTCAAAACTTGAGACATCTGTGGCATTGTGTTGTGTGTCAAAACGGAACATTTTAGAGTGGCCTTTTATTGTCCCCAGCACAAGGTGAAACTGTGTAATGATCATGCTGTTTCATCAGCTTCTTGATATGCCACACCTGTCAGGTGGATGGGTTATCTTGGCAAAAGAGAAATGCTCACTAACAGGGATGTACATTTTTGAGAAATAAGCTTATGCTTATGGACATTTCTGATATATTTTATTTCAGTTCATGAAACATGGGACCAACAGTTTACATGTTGCATTTATATTTTTGTTTAGTATAATAATTTATTTGATTCTGCAATAGAGGATGGATTTGCAGTATGAATAAAAATGTACATCTTCGTTCTAATTATCACTAACTCCCGTGAAGTCATCATGACGCATAGTTCAGTGATCCAGATGCGAGGAAGCTTAAAGTAGACCTCCAATCTATCTGAAAATACTGTGTATTGGATGTGTCAAAGCCCCAGCGCCATTGAGAGGTGAACATGAAGAATTAAGTAGATTGCGGGTTGCAGGTATTGTCTGGCATTTTAATTCTAGGATATTTTTATTAGGCCTCAGTGTAATCAAATGTGCTAATTGCCTCTGCACCTGATCAGACTGTAGCCCTGAGTATAGGCCTAGTCCATCACCTTCACCGTTGGTAAACTTGGAGTAGGACTACATTTAACATGTTGTATATATTTAATTGTAGGTTGATATTTAATTTAGGTTGATACTCACATCCCTTTGGTTCCATATTTGTTGTAGAACTCCATGTGGTTACATGTTTGAATCCAGCCAACGGTCCACGTCTCTTTACCGGCCACGGGCGGCACCAGTACCCGAGCAGAGGCTCGGAAGTGCGGTGTCCGATAGCGCAGAACCACGATGGATGACTCGTCGATGCTGGTTGGCGTGGAGTCAATGGAGGAGTTCACTTCGAGAACGATGACACTTTCACGGAAACTCTTGGGCTTACACCTGATACTCTGGATACAGCCCATTGCATTAAATAGCAATACAATCCACAACAACGTCCCGAGGTCTGGAGGAGAAAGACGCATGGAAACAGCAACAAATTCACAATTGCATCCACATTTTCAATAGTCAAAAAAAATTTTTAAAAAAAAATACGAAAAAGGGTGGCACTGGCAAATGGCCAGAGTTCTCCGTTGAGAATGACTAGGCTATCTCTTTGCTGACATGTTCATAAAAGCCATGCATTTTGCAACCAGTTCTGTATTCCAACACTATGATGGAAAATGTAATAGTTTACTCAATAATGGAAGGAAGAGTTGTGATTAAATTCAAAGCAGCATGCTTTCTGCTTTTCGTTGGCCATCAGATCACATCACCAAAAAAGCGCCGATGCAACTTTCTTTTCCGTTTCTTGAAGCTTCCTCCATCAATAGAAGGGCCTCCAGATGTGTGATGTGTGCGCTGTCTCACCTCCACAAGCAGCGCGAGATCCCCCGCGATTACTGGCAATTTGCGATCATCGGATATGTGCACCAGCCACTGCTCACATGTACTTTGTGGTCTAATTAAGCAGACGCAATTGATAATTGTGACCTAAGCATAATTTACAAAAACTGCTAACATAACATTTCGACGTCATATTGGCCGAGCTCAGCACCACTCATCTGTGAGCCTATTCATGACAATTTTCATTCTCCTGAAAATGCGTAAAATCAACTTTTGCCTCAATTAAGCATTCTGTTTTCCATAATCCACCAGCTCCGTCACTGGTGAAAGGTTTTCATTTCCAAAAATGTGTTTTGATGTGGATAGGAGAACTGCAGCCAGCAATGGCTTGTGTTGAGCAACGTCTTAAATATGTAACAATAAACTGTTGACATTTAATACCACAGTAGGCTATAATAGGCCCCCTTTCACTGACCCCAGTGTTACGACAATTATGACAATGCCACATAAAAATGTACTACATGAGGCGCACCTGCACATGAATTTAATCATATGTACAAAAAGTAATCCTTTTTACATATTAAATAACCCCTCTAGAATATGTTGCTGAAGGTCTTCACTACAATAGAAACACATCCCGCGTGCAATCCCACAATAACTCTATGCACGGGGATTATATGAGAATAAATGTATCATAAATATTGCTGTCCTTAAATCGACGCAAATTGTAGACATGGTATGCAAAAGACAATTGGTAAAGTGAAACGTTTAGCCTAAAATAAAACAATTGGAAAAATTCCTTTCCTTAACTAAAACTCGCACTGGACTTCCCCCTCCCACCTTACTAGCTCTGACTTTGCTGATAGCTACTTTATCGAGGAACAATGTACTTAATATGACTGTGATATGTGGTTGTCCCACCTAGCTATCTTAAGATCAATGCACTAACTGCATGTGGCTCTGGATAAGAGCGTCTGCTAAATAACTAAAATGTATATATAAATGTAGTCTCGTTGCAAAAAGCCAGTTGTAGCATAAACCAAATATTTTTTATTTTTTTAAATAGAGGTTAACCACACTTTTTTTCCAATGCAAGCACGTCTTTGTGAATTGTCCCCTCATGACAGTTTATTGGACTGCCCTAGATGCGTGCGCGCGTGGTTCGAGTAGTAATTCCGTAATCTTCCTGTTCGTTCCCTTCTCTTTTATTGTTGCATTCAATGTCAAGGTCCGGTAGTGGTATCATTTCAACTTACATTTATTTAATCGTGGGTTACAATGAACACCGGAAATATTCAAAGGCAACCAGGTTAACTTTCCCCTCTCCGTTTGCATCCATATCTTCTTGTAGATTAACTAATAAAAAACTATTTGAATACATGGAATGTCCGATAACCCAACCAGGCTCCCTCCTCGATCCCTGTCCTTTGGGTATAATTTAGTCCCAATTCCAAGACAGGCTGTCATTTCTCTGCGCTGGTCCCATCGCGGCCACAGCAGTTTCACCCTCCCGCATTGGTCTATTTTAGCAGCTTGAGCTGCAGCTCCTTTATTTAAGTACCTTTGAGACGACACTTCCCCTCGTCACTGCAAGCATTCTGGGAAATGTAGTGATGGCTTCTTGCTTCATTTATTAAATTGAACAGTTTTCAGGCTATAATAGGCCAATTCTATGTGTCAAAGTTAAGCGAATAGCCCAAATTTAATTGACTATTTTGGGCTCACATCAATTTGGCTGCATGTCTAATTATAAAATATACATTGGTGAATATTAAATAACAATAAAATAATTAAAATGTAGGCCTACTTTGAATTAAATTGTTTCCCATGATTTTAGCCTGATAATAGCCCCACTTTTGTATGCTCCTGAGAAAACCCCTTTTAAGAAATTGATAAAGTCAATTTTCATAATTTAATTTAATGTTTGTTATTGCTTCTTGATTTGCGGTTTATTTTCTTCTATTTTTGGCCATTGACCAATGGACAAAGACGTGCCATGGGTTCGTGCTGAGAGCGTCTCTGTAGCTGTCCATTTAAGCACCTTGGAGAACTCCCATCCGGAAGAGCGCGTCCTTGAATGAGCACGGTTGCGTAGGCTAAGTCATGTTCACGACTGACACCGTCCTTAGAGCTTTCATCTTTTCTAAATACTGAATGACTCGCGGAGCTGACTATGAATGCTTGTTCGTTGATTGACTTTAATAGACTCGGGACTGTCTAGCTAGAATTCCTTGCCGCATTCTCTAAATGCCAATCCAACTGCCAGTGTTGTGCAGCGCGCGAAAAGGATCTGAACTATAGCCCATTCCTATACCTCGGCCTGGTAAGATGATAACATTAGTCTTTCTCCTTGAGCATAACAGGGGTACAGTATGGCCCATCTATTTATGCGTAAAACCAGTGTCTTTAGTTTCTGTTAGTGATAGGCCTGCTGCACCACCACATCTGCCGTTCAGGATCAAAACAAAACCTCCATGCCATTCCATGTTAGTTGCTCATGATTGTATATTTTAGTTTATAACATGTTAAAAGCTGATGATGACATTCTGTTTTCGCTGTAGATTGTGTCTCGTTCGATTGGCCCAGGCAGATGCCAGTCAAGCCTCTTCATGCCTGCATGGATCCGGTTGCAGGCTAAACACAGCAGCATGGGTAGCGCGCATACCAACGGGCTAAATATATCTTGTAGGGCCACAGGAGGGGAAGGACAGGGCTTAGCTTTGGACATTTAGCCGTCGTGCGTAAAACGAGAAATTGTCCTTCTGAAAGGTAGAGACCAATCCAAAATGCCCGCAATTCCGAGTTCTAGGTCCAGGACGCGGGATCGGAACAACGTCCTGAGCAGACCCGAGTTCATGTCCCTGAATCAGCCTCTACGGTGCGTTAACTCTGAGACCCGGGGCACCGCAAGGCGACCGGACCCAACCCAAACACCAAGCAAGCCAACCGTGCGACCCGCAGGAACCTACCGACAGTGCCAACAAGGAACGGAAAGAGCCCGCGAAACTGCCGGATGAGGACTGTATCCAGCTGAACCCTTCCTTCAAAGGGATAGCGATGAGCTCCCTCCTCGCCATTGACATTTGTCTGTCCAAGCGCCTGGGGGTCTGCGCCTACACGTCGTCGTCTTGGGGCAGCGTTCGTTCCATGATCACCCTGCTCGAACTTACAGGGCACGGCATCACGTGGATCTTTGGCACTATCATATGTCTGACAAGAAGTAATACGCTGGCGGGACAAGAGGTCTTGGTCAATCTATTACTTGGTAAATGCACTCCTCACTCTGTACCCAAAACACATTGTGTAATAATTATGTTATTGAATTGTAAGCTACATGTGTGACAGCTCTTCTTTAATGGCTTGGATATTATAGTGTGTCTGTCAGTGCATTTTTAATAGGTGTAGCCCAGGGGTCCCCAACCCCTGGTGAAGCCTACTGATATGATCACATCTCCCTCTACTTCCTTATCCCTGGGCCCAGGCCCTGTGTTAGGCCTATATAACCCATGTCAATATAGGATATATTTATAGCATGATTGTTAACAACATCTCACCAAAGGATGTCATTGTCCACCAGAATGTGATTTTAAAGCATTCCATGGTAGAGTATCAGAAGCAGGTCATTATGAAATCCTAACCCTCCATGGTCTCTTCTCTCTCCATCACCCAGTGTAGAACCAGGCCTGGGGAACAGGTGCAAGGCTTAAGGCTCCACACATCACGTTTTGACTTTCGACTGAAGAACTATAAGTAGACATTTTAACAAGCCAGGGGCCTACATCGAAAGACTCAGTGAAGTCAGTATCATTAATGTCAAGCATAGGCCTATATGAAGATACAGGCCTATACACTGCTTTGCACTTCTTATTATCCCCACTATGGCAGCTGCTACAGAAGCTACAGTGGAATAATTTTCCAAAGTACCTTATGAAAGTAATACATACTTTATGATACTTACTTCCTTGATATAAGATCAATAGGTTATTTCCCTACATTTGCTTTAGTCACACGAATGTAACATAGCCTACCTATAGTGCGACCCTGATTTCTCTAACTAGTGGTAATGGAATCCTCCTAGATGGTGAACTCATTTTAGGTGGTTATTTTTACACACTTCTGCGAAGGAGAGCAGCTGACTATCCCCCAGATTGATTTGAGTGAATTATGTATTTCTCAGAACAAATTGGGGCCACTGTGACAAATTGTGATTCTGTGTGTGTGTGTGTGTGTGTGGTGCGTGCGTGCGTGCGTGCGTGTGTGTGTGCGTGTGATACTTCAAAAGTACTGTAGACCCACACACATCCAACAGATTGCCACAGGTGTGTGTATTATTCTCATTTAGCTATGTGTACTCCTACACACCCCTTTGCTATCGTAGGCCCACCATGTTGGCTGGTTCATACCTGTGAATTCACCATGTTCCCTTTGACACCTGAAAGCCTGAGGTATTTTATTTTTGCTCCTGTGCCGGATGCCTGGTTGCTTTGGGCTAGTGTGTGTGGAAGGGTTGTGTGTGTGGAGCGATTACTCAGAAAAACACTGCAAATCTGTGGACTGAAGCTGTATTGTGTTCAGTCTATAATCTTTTTAATTTGGGACAGTTTGGGATATTGTGTTTGGGGCATTGTTCAGGTCATTGTTCAGGTCATTAATAGTGATCCAGGATAGGATAGGGAACCACTGTGTTTGAACAAACATCCTGATGAAGGCAAGCTGTGAATGCAGGATAATTCACAATAACACTTCTCTTTGACTTCATTTTGCCAGGAATAGACAGACAGTCAGATAGACAGATACACTATGTGGACACCTGTTTGTTGAACATCTCATTCCAAAATGATGGGTATTAATATGGAGCTGGTCCCCCCTTTGCTGCTATAACAGCCTCCACTCTTCTGGGAAAGCTTTCCACTAGATGTTGAAACATTGCTGCAGGGACTTGCTTCCATTCAGCCACAAGAGCATTAGTGAGGTCGGGAACTGATGTTGGGCCAATTAGGCCTGGCTCGCAGTATCCGTTCCAATTAATCCCAAAGGTGTTCGATGGGGTTGAGGTCAGGGCTCTGTGCAGGCCAATCAAGTTCTTCCACACCAATCCCGACAAACCATTTCTGTATGGACTTCACTTTGTGCACGGGGGCATTGTCATGCTGAAACAGGAAAGGGCTTTCCCCAAACTGTTGCCACAAAGTTGGAAGCACAGAAAAATCTAGAATGTTATTGTATGCCGTAGCGTTAATATTTCCCTTCGCTAGAGCTAAGGGACCTAGCCCGAACCATGAAAAACAGCCCCAGACCATTATTCCTCCTCCACCAAACTTTACAGTTGGCACCATGCATTTGGGCAGGTAGCGTTCTCCTGGCATCCGCCAAACCCAGAGTCGTCTGTCGGACTGCCAGATGGTGAAGCATGATTAATCACTCCAGAGAACGCGTTTCCACTGCTCCAGAGTCTAATGGTGGCGAGCTTTACACCATTCCAGCTGACGCTTGGCATTGCACATGGGGATCTTAGGCTTGTATGCGGCTGCTTGGCCATGGAATCCCATTTCATGAAGCTACCGACGAACAGTTATTGTGCTGACATTGCTTCTAGAGGCAGTTTGGAACTCGGTAGTGAGTGTCGCAACCGAGGACAGATGATTTTGACATGCTATGCGCTTCAGCACTCGGCGGTCCTGTTCTGTGAGCTTGTGTGTGTGGCCTACCACTTCACGGCTGAGCCGTTGTTGCTCCTAGACGTTTCCACTTCACAATAACAGCACTTACAGTTGACCGGGGCAGCTCTAGCAGGGCAGAAATTTGACGAACTGAGTAGTTGGAAAGGTGGCATCCTATGACGGTGCCACGTTGAAAGTCACTGAGCTCTTCAGTACGGGCCATTCTACTGCCAATATTTGTCTATGGAGATTGCATGGATATGTGCTCGATTCTAGACACCTGTCAGCAACGGGTGTGGCTGAAATAGCCGAATCCACTAATTTTAATGGGTGTCCACATTTTGGCCATGTAGTTTATATCGGTAGAAATATACATATTTTTTTGCTTTGAACGGCATCATACAGTACATAACATTCTAGACTTGTAAAATCCATGGCTTGGTTCTCCTCCTCCCTTACCTTCAGTAGTTTTGAGGTGGGCTGTATCAGGGGGCAGAGCTGTGTCCTGTTGTTGGTACCAGTTGCTTTCCAAGCGGCTCAGCACTGTGTCCCAACTGTCCCAGAATGACCCCAATGTACCACATACTCACTTCCATGCTGTCCATTTTCCTCTCTCTGCCTAATTTCAATTTTCCCCACCTTCCATTTCCTTTTTCATCCTTAACTCAGTTCTTTATTCCCATTCTTCCATTCTTCCTTACTTCCTGCCTTCCTTCATCCCCCCCCATGTTATGTAATGTTAATGGTCGGTGACCACTGTGAATTCTTTAATTGCTAAAAGTTTACTTTACGACAGAACTAGGGGGTTATTTGTGTGTGGGTGTACAGGAAGAAGACAGCGTAATCAATGTTGTAATCCTGAGTCCTGACAGATTCCACAGGGTGGGGTGGTAGCTGGGTGATCAAAAATGAAAGGTGGTGATTGTGGGGATATTTTGGGCTGCACAAAGAGGGTTGGATGCTTTTAAAATGAGGTCTGCAGAAGACATGACTGAAAATATAAACGTTTAGGGCTGGATCAAGTCAATCATATTCAAATAATTAATAAGTATCTATATCACACCCAAGCATAATTAAGTACGTCTATTATACATCTATTACCAGTTTATTACAGTCTTATTACACAGGTTTGAGGAGGAAATCGTTTCTATCTCAGTATTTCACTTGCAAATACTCAAATAACTACACAGACAGCCAAGTGCACATAAATTAAGCCAAAGCTGAACTAACTATAAGCTAAGAGCTCTCCCAGTTCTGTGCTATCTTCCAGACCTATTTAGAGAGTAACTGGGCTGCTAGCCTGATAATGTGGCCCATTGGGATGCTGTAGCATAGAGGCTCAAACATTCTGATCACATACAGGGAAGAGAGGGGGTTGCGGTGATGCACTACTGTTCCACAAACTCTCGTCTCTTCTTTAAATCCACTGCGGCATTTCTGGGGTATCGCCTGGCCTGCCTCATTGCTTAATCACTGATGCTTAGCCCTGTAACAGATATGGAGCAAATTACATAACTGAAAATGTGGCCCATTTGTTTTTGACTACTGATATTGTATGTTGTGGTTTACTGCCCTGTGGTTAATTTATCTAATTGGGCTTTTTCATGCAACATTGTTTAAAAAGAAATCCTCCCTCCTCAGCCCTCTTACTTGACATCATGACCGTGGCCGGTGTCCAGAAGCTGATCAAACGCAAAGGACCCTGGGAGATGACTCCGGGCTTCCTGGACTACTGTGCCATGGACGTGTACTCCTTCCCGGCGGCCCACGCCAGCCGCGCCGCCATGGTGTCCAAGTTCCTGCTTTCCCACCTGGTCCTGGCCGTCCCACTACGCATCCTGCTGGTGCTCTGGGCCTTCCTGGTGGGCATGTCCAGGGTGCTGCTTGGTAAGCACCACCTGACCGACATGGCGTGCGGCTTCGCCCTGGGCCTGCTGCACTTCAGCCTGGTGGAGACGGTGTGGCTGTCGTCCAGCGCCTGTCAGACCCTCATCTCTATAGGGACCCTCAGCTGGAGTCCCTTCTACTGAGGGCTATCTATCAAGGCCCTCAATGCCTGTTTGAAGCTGTAAAGCCTGGCTTTATGAAGCCTTATAAGTAGGGCCAGGAGTTTTTCCTGACAAGAGTTTTCCCTGATCAGGGCCTACTGTCTAAGGCTGCATTAGACGTACATATAAACTTTATCTGTGATGACAAAAACTTCTATACACACAATTAGGCCCTATCTGGTTTAGCTCATTTACAGTATTTGCAGTAAATGTTTTTGAGGGAGGTAAATGTGCTCGTTGGAGTCATTTTGATCATTGATGACTCAAAGAAAGAAAATGTGGTAGTGTTGATATTTATTGATATTTACAAAGACTTCTATAAAATCCCTACCACCTTTTCTCTTCCACTGAACTAATCCTAATGCTTGAGAGCCCTCACTCGCGTATATCTAATTTTATTGGGTCTCACTGCTGTCAAGTTTCTTTCTTTTCTTTCTGCTTATTCCACCACTCCTCACCTTGCTCCACTTCCTCTTTCTCTTCGGCTTCCTTTTCCTCTTCTTCCCTGTTCCTCTTTCCTCCTGTCTGTGAACCTTTAACCCTTTTGTCATTTGAAATGTTTTTACTTGTACTTGATCAAAATATTGCCCAGTACTTTGAAGTGATGAAATTGTTTTCTAAAGGTTTTGAAATGTGTCCACACTTGAATGGTCCATTTGCAGATGAAGAAAGGAGATGTTAGGAAGCTCTTTGATTTCCTTTCAATTATGTTGTTTGTATGTTTCTGCTGGAAACTATCAACTGTTAAAACTACCAATTGTTGAGAAACAGATGGACTGGACTCCAAATGAATATATCTTTGCTGTCATTGAATTGGGCTGTAAATAACATAATTGTTGTCTAGATCAGGGATTTTTCTACTGGGTTAAATATTTATCTTATCCAAATATGTTTAAAAAGTAGGTTTTGATTAGTTTAAGGCTAGCAGTTTCATCATAGATGTGTATGTGTATTCCACATTGTTTGCCTTCCCTGGTGCAATAAGCATTAACCAAACAGATAGACACTGTCTTTTTGGTAATGGTGCTGATTTCATGCCACACTGACTGAACAACATCTGTGAGAATTCATCTCCATCAGGCTTGGGTTTACCATTGACACTGTGTATGTGTGTTTATGGGTGTGTGTGTGGGACGTGGATATGTGCGGGAGATTGTGTGTATGTGTGTGTCTGTGCATGTGTGTATGCATTGCATGCATGCAAGCAAGATCTCTTATGTGTGTGCCTTTATGAGTCAAATGTAATGTATTTTGGAGGGTTAAAGTCACTGAGTAAACCAATGCAGTCTGAGTAAAGTCATGAATGTTCACTGAAGTGTACAAAATATGTATTATACCTGATATCTTTATACCTACTGTATGCCTTCATTCATGTATTTCATTTATTGGTCTTCTGCTGATAATCTCTTTTGGTTGTTTATTTTTGTTGTGATGTTATGGACTTGGGATCCAAACTATTTAAGCCGTAACCTTTTTGCTGCCACAAAAAAACATTATTTCATTGGGTTGGACCTGTATGTATATATACAATATTGCATTTGTGCAAGTCAGCATGTTTTGTTTTGCACAAGGATGACAAAAAAAAGTCATATTTTCATGCAGTGTTTCAATTTATCCAGTCTAATTTACAAAATGAAGAAGATGGATCGATAGCCTTTGTAAGATGTGGACTCTGAAAAAGTGGAATGTCTTGTTCACTATTTCCTAGGTTGTTTATGCATGCCCATAAATACACCATTTGCAATGACTTATTTTTGTGTTGTTTTTCCTGTGTGTGTGTGTATCAAATCAACGTTTATTGGTCGCATACACAGTTTAGCAGCTGTAATAGCGGGTGAAGCGAAATGCTTATGTTATTAGCTCCTAACAATGTAGTAAAATGTCAAACAAGTACACAAATAATCACACAAAAAAACACAATTAATCAAGAAATGTCAGAACGAATCCATTTAACAACCCAAATAGCACTGCAACAGTAATCAAAATGAAATCTAAACATATATACACCGGCTGAATTTACACAACATATACTAAGAATGATATGTACAGCAGTACATATATTAGACTGAGCTATGTCAAGAACCCAGTATATAAATATATATGTATAAACAGTGTAACTAAAATGCAATGTACAGTAGTATAAATATTAGAATGAATACAGTATTTAAATACACAGTACAAAACCCCATGGCAAAATGGATAGAATTGCAGAAAATTAGGTTCCAGACCAGAGTTCGGAATATAAATAAATTATATATGCATGTGAATGATGTGTATGGACAGTATGTGAATAGAAAAGGTGTTTATGGCAGTAGTTATATAGGATGAGCCATGACTACAATACAGTAAACTGTATACAAATAAAGTGGGTGAAACAGTATGTAAACATTATAAAAGTGACTAGTGTTCAATGACTCTATGTACATAGGGCAGTGGTCTCTACGGTGCAGGGTAGAGTACATGGTGGTAGCTGGCTAGTGACAGTGTCTGAGGTTCAGGGTAGGATACTAGGCGGAGGCCGGCTAGTGGTGACTGTTTAACAGTCTGATGGCCTGGAGATAGAAGCTGTTTATCAGTCTCTCGGTCCCAGCTTTGATGCATCTGTACTGTCTCCGCCTTCTAGTAGCGGGGTGAACAGGTCATGGCTCGAGTGGCTGAGGTCCTTGATAATCTTTTTCACCTTTCTGTGACACCAGGTACTGTAGATGTCCTGGAGGGCAGGCAGCAAAGTCATTATAGTTTTGTGATTTTCTATTATTTGTTTTATTTCTATTCGTTTTTAGTTTAGTCTCAGTTAGTTTTCAGACTTGACTTACATTTCATATTTCATTTTTATATTATTTAGTTTCAGTTTTAGTTTTAGTGTTAGGGACAGAAAGTAGCTTATGCATAGGAGGCTATGAGCCATGTTTGTGTTGTAGGCCTATAGTTCGTTTTTTGGGATGTCACTTCTTGCCACAGGGGTGCAATAATCCATAAGGTGATGGGCCAGGACTATAGACATGGATAGACATAACGTCTCTGTATCTGTGTCATAATGGCGTCTGTGAGAGCATGGGTAGCACCATTGAGGCCATCTCCATCTTGAAATAGTCAATTTTCTTCTTCACAAGTAAAATTCATTGGCTGATCCCTCCAACCGGATCATCAGGTCATGCCAACCGGGTCATCAGGAGGGATCAGCCAATGAAGTTGGAAGTCCCGCCCAGTTGACTAAATAAAAATGGCGAAAGTCCTCAATGGCTCTGCCCATGCTAACACAGGCTTTTGGCAACTAGAGGTCTCCATACAACTCCATGGCCAGGACATAGGTTTGGTTCGGTTTAAATTACTCTATAAATAAATCCTAATGTGACTTGGATTTAAAGGATAAGCGCCTAGACTGGTGCAAGAAATATGGTGGAAGGAAGCTCTCTTGCCCATGCATGTTTAAGCCAATCCAATGCTTTTTTTTACCTTCAGTAGTAGATGTAAGAAGAATCACCTTTACCTTTATCTGACGGAAAGAGAGAGGGAAAAAGACAAATGAAGTCATGGCACATTTGACATGTTATGTTTATGTAATATTGAACATGTATCACTGACTAACCCCTTCAAATATGGTTAATAAAAACAACTGCAACAACAGCAAGAACATAAGCAATAGAATGATGACGCCATACTGTATGGCTGCCGTTTTGCAAGCTCCGACCCAACTTTGCCATTTTGAGATCGGCGAGGGCTAACCAAGTCGCGATAGCTAGTCGTGTGGCTCTAGCTAAATTGAGACTGATGACTAGAAAATGAATTATACTCTAAGCAAAACGTTCCTATCGACAGGAGCTGAAGTCTTACATTCAGCAGCGTTAACCTCCCGGTTTGCCTGAGAACGGTTCAGTAGGAAGACAGTAGGAAGTTGTGCTGAGGAGAGCTTTTACTGAACGCAGTCACTTCCGAAAGGAAGAGCGGCGAGAATGACCAGATGTCGGGCGAGTGGCTCCCTTTATGGATGAGATGGGTTCACCTCATTCGCCACTCGACCTGTCTGTGTGATTGGATACTTCGAGCTTGTGACCCGTCAGTGTCGGTCGGTACCGTTTAAGATGAGGGAGGATGATATTTTTTTAAATGAACATCGCCTTATTCTATTACAGCATATTGGATGACTGTCATTCATATTCCATTCACCCAGCTCAATGTAACATCGATAGGTTTAGGCTACTACATGATACTCTAATTTTCCCTGTATCCATCATGAGTTTGCTACAATCTAGCCTATGAATGAAAGTGTACAATGAAGGTAAACAGGTTGAGAGAATTTTGAGTAATCAATGTGACAGATAGTGACACATTCAATACTGCCTTGCACACTCTTGCCCAAATCTAGCTGATCTAGGGTGTAGTTTCAAACAGTTGCAAATGAGAGTTTCATTCCATTTGCTTCCATTTAAGAAACGTTTTTCAACAGAATCGGCATAATGAATACACCCCTGATCACACGCAAACACAGTTCCCTTTCATAGCAACCACATACAAACAGCTTGTTGTATATATACTGTAATTCCTTCTCGCATCTATCTACTTCAGTGCACAACACATCAGCTGTCTGTGACCAGGCAAAAAATACTTTCCAAACCAAACCTTCATATCCTGACGTTAACCGCTACACCCAGCCTACATAGTTGTCACCATATTAGCTAACGTCATAGTCAACATAGCTACTAGAACCAATGCGTTAGTAAACCCGCTACAATCATGCAGCACAGTGTACAGTCAGCAGCAAGCAGTTTTGCAGTTACACCGGCAGGCCCCAGTGGCAATAAATTAATAAAACCAAAAGCTTACCTTGAATTGGAAGAGTTCCAGTGTTGGATAGCCATAGCCAGCTAGTTAACATAGCATCCCTTTCTGTTTGGGCCAGGTGCATTCGATGCTAGCTAAGTAAGTGAAAAAATATATACTACGAAATATAGCTAGCTCTCTCTCTCTCTCTCTTGCTTCAC